CCATCAACTGGATGACTGGCACGGTGACTCTCAAGAGCACCGTAGACTCCCGAAAGAAGGAAAGAGAGATCGATGCTGATCGGAAGAAGAACGGCAAAACGCCACTCTTCCAGAAAGAAAAGAAGGAGACGAAGAAAAGGGAACAATCAGTTTCCCCGACAACTCCCAGAAACCCCCGAACGGCTAGTGCTTCCATCGACCTAGCCCCGACAACAAAGATCGCACCGGTCCCTGAGGAACCGCAGTATTCAAATTCCTCCACGATTGCACCACGGCCCGCTGAAACCGTGACGAAGAAAGATTCGCTGCCAAGAATAGACCTTGCAGCCAGACGATTTGAACAGAAGAGACCGGCCACTGATCCGGAGACAACTCAGAGAAAGACTTCTAGACCGGCTTCGATATTCGACCACGTTTATCCCGAAAAGCCGCCAATGAAGAAGATTGTACCTGCTCTTCAGCAGACGAAGATTGTACCGGCTGTTGAGCCGACGAAGAACGACCCCGTACCTGCCCGATATGAATTCTCGGCAGAGCCCGCGTCAGTCCTTGGGAAGGGACGCGCGATGATGACAGAAGAACCGCCTGTTTCCAAGGCGCTCAGACTGGAACCCGAACCAGCCCAAATACGGATGGAAGATAGATTTGTATTTTCCGGAGAACCAATATCCGTTCTCGGAAAAGGAAGAGCGGTTCAAACCGCAGACCCACCTGAAGCCAAGAAACTCAGGTTTTATGAAAGTCCGGCTGATGATACCGACACAGCCGATGAATTCCACGCACCGAATTCCCTCAACCTCACCACGACATCCGGGGAGATCCCCACAGAATATCCCGATGAAGCGATGACAATTGACCGCATCATCTCCGATGGACCCAGCTTTGTCCACTTCACGGACCTTGAGGATAACAGAGAAGAAGACGATGATGAACCTCCGCAGTTCGTGCGGATGGTAGACTTAGAAGGAAACGATCTCGACTACGACGGCCCTGACTCGGGCTTCGACTTCTAGAAGATGGATATAGTCGGTGACTATAGGCTTAGGAAGGGGGTAAAATCCCTGATTTGCTTTTATTTTTCCACACTCCCGACTCTGACCACTTCTGATTTACGACTTCGACACCTCCGACCTCCGGCATGAGGTTAAACTGCACGATAGTCCGGAATGACTCTAAAACTACGAACCTCCGGCATGAGGTTAAACTGCACGATAGTCCGGAATGACTCTAAACTACGAATGTCCGCAATCGACGTAAAACTATTGGACAAAGGACGAACTCCGGAAAACTCCTGCAAGCTTCGGAACCCCTTATCCACTGAACGTCCGACACGACGCTAAACTGCACGATTATCCGCAATGATATAAAACTATGCACGTCCGTAACTGACGTAAAACTATGAACTGAAGACTGCCTTGTCTCAGTAGATCGTCCGGGATGACGTAAAACTATTGGACAAAGGACGAACTCCGGAAAACTCCTGCAAGCTTCGGAACCCCTTATCCACTGATCTCTTCGATAACACCCGCGTATAAAGACCTCGATCTTGAAAACAAAAGGTTAAGAAGACCCCCGCGTATCCCACGCATAGAACCTTCGATATCTGATGTGAACATCTAACAAAAGATAGAAGAAGAAGATCCTCCGGAACGAGGTTAAACTATCACGAGACGAACTCCACGGAAACTCCTGCAAGCCCATGGAACCCTCTAGAACGACGATCGAATACGAACCTTAGATCAAACAAAAGGTTACAGAAGATCGAACGCACCTATCACGGCACTTCCCTCTGATAGCGGAAAACGAGGCATCAATAAGCCCTCACGATTGAACCTTGATAGGAGATAAGAGATAAAGAAACAAAAGATAAGCATGAATCAAACGGAGCTTGAAACGATCTGGAAGAGGATATAAACCCTGACTTCCCCGAACATCCTTTCCACGAACCTCCATCATGTCGACCTCTATTGAAAACTCTCCCGTCACTGTATTGGGAGCACAACCGAAACTCCCTTCGCACCATCCGTCTCCACGTCCACGAAACCGGCGCTGCCGTCCTTGACGATGGAAGATGTCGTAGATAGTCAAAGCCGGTGACTTTGACGATAGTAGTGGGGTAATGTTACAACAACGTTACATGAGTCCCCTTGCCACCCTGCCCTCTGCCACCTGCACGGCTACAGACGATACCCGGGCCTCTCCTGCCCTTGGGATAGAACACAGGATAGAACACCGGACCGATATAGAAGAGAACTCCGGAAGATGCCGGATTAGATAAGCGGTCTGGACCGCTATGACGACATAGGTCTAGAAGACCTATTCCTGTTATCAAGATAGAAGGCAAGCCTCGTGTTGCCTCGTGTACTGATGGAAGCCTGCCTCATGCATGGTATCTCTGACTCGATAGATAAGCAGATTAGAACCCAGCTTCAAGCTGAGCTTAGATACGATAGAGTAGCCTTATATAAAGGTCGACGATTAAAGTAGATGTTCCTAACTTTAATCTTACTTGGTTTTCCCTTGAAACCTCTTGTCTCGCATAAAGCTACCTTGCTTGACATCCGGCTCGCACCTTCGGAAGCTTGTCTTACGACCACGAACCTTCCGTCTGTAACTGCTATCATCGCCCCACAAGGCGTACGCAACTTCTGCTCTTCTGTGGAAGCCGACAAACCTCAGCACCTGAACGCCGTCTTCTCGGCCTTGCTGTTGTAGATCCCATCCAAGTACGCACACGACCTAGTGTCGTAACACTATCACTCTTTCAATTTGCCGACAAATAAGACAGATGTTGGTTTCGAAGGAAACACCATCGTTATCCAACGTACGGAGGAAACGGACACAGTCTTCTTTTGCAAGCCACCTAGCAGCCGTACTGATTTTACAAACATTTGTCAGAAATATTTGCTCGATTAATGCTGCATTCTGATTGGTACCTTTCGCAAAAGCATGGTCCACCTGCGACATGGTGATCTCCCCTTGATAGTGAAATGAGAGTGTGCGGTCTCAATGTTCATATTCTAGAATGTCGATAAAATTTTACTCGTGTGATGTCAAGCTATCCAAATACATGTCTCAATAGATGAAAATATGTAATCCTCACCAAATATTTTTCAGCCGTTGCTGAGACTAGCCAATGCTCTGGTCATATTACTTAATGTTTATGTTGTCAGCTAGTGCGTGGTTCAATTGTGACAAAATGACTTGCCCCTTGTAAGTCATAGATATAGAATGAGAGAAGTGCAGTCTAAGAGTTTGCGTTCTACAATGTAAAACATAATTTGCCGGAAGCGCCCTCAGCTTTACAATGCGGTGTCGAGCTATGTACACCCACGCCTTGATAGACGATGTTATGTAATCGACATCAGGTCATAGCGAGCTACCTTCTATTCAGTGATGTCTATCGAATTCTGCAACCATGTCATCAACACGCTCAGTGAGACACACCAGTCTTCGTATCACACGGCCTTCAAGAGTGTGATTTTTGCTGCCAATGATGCTTAGCATATAGCAAGGTCAAAAATGTTGACATACGTGGTCTTTTCACTGGCAGTTGGCATGCGAAGCTCAGCGTTCTGCTCCTCCAGGAGAGCAATACGCCTTTTTAATGATAATATCTGGGTCTCATCAGCGCAAGATGGAGGTGAGTCTAACATAGTGGAAAAGTGTCGCAGCATTACCATGGGCCACGTACATATAGTACCCAGAAAACAGCAGCCGATTGCTTTGTTCGGATCCGTACAGACCGCATCAGACAAGGTTCAGAGTTTCCCGTTGACCCTGGCCTTCGTAATGTTCCTTCTCCTCTGGGAATCTAAAGTTTTTGAAAAAAAAAAGAAATGGAGGTGGACACACAGATTTACAATAGTACGTCTCCGGAGCTTCACTGTCACTAGTCATGTGGAATGATTTGGGAACTATCCCAATACAGTTTCGGTCATCTTGAACCGATCTGCTGATTTAACAGTAGTAATAAGTATAGAAGTACCGGCTTGGACACTGAATTTCTCAAGCACAATATACCCAATGTCCGAGTCATCAATACTCGCCGACTTGGAACTTGAGATCCACCCAGATATTTCCTATCCATCGATCAATGAAATTTTGGCTGATCTTGAGAAGATGGAGCCACGAAGAGGGTGGATTAGAATTTTTCACGGTCCTATGACTTCAATGGGCATCAGAACATTAGACGACATGGAAATAATTACACCGGAATGTCTTACCGTTTTCTACCGGCTCTGTCCAGTTATGGTGATGGACTTATATGTCCACATCGCCAATTGCTTTGACAAGCTTGAAGCTGGTAATCTGAAGGCTTGCAATACGAGGTGAGAGCACATCTTTGATGCTGTAAAGTTGAAATATAATACTCACAGCAAATCAACTGCATACAGAGACACACGCCTGCAGACTGCATCTGAGTGAGCGAGGTGGAGGAGAGTGCAAGTCTGAGTGGGCGTACAGCTGTCAAATTATGCAGGTGGTACAACGTGACCACTAATGCCTTCAATTCACCATAGTGTATACGAGAGTTTGTGGGGCGGAGATGAGGTTGGTCGAGGTCAGCATAGTGTATTGAAAGATTTGATAGCGCTGCAGAAAGTAATTAATGTAAAATGCTGTAGATCGAAGTGAAAGGAATCATACCGGCCCTTCTCCTTGTCGAGTTTATTGTCCATGTTCTTTGACAACTTCTTGTATTCCTATGGACTTTGACACAATGTCTGTGTCACCACTAGGTTCTGCAAGTGTCAAAGGAGCCTGCATTATCCCTGCTCGAGATGAATCATGAGGCTACCTTGGCACATACCTCTGAAAGGGTAAAAAAAAAGGTTGAAGACTAGATAAATGAAGATACTTACCTTCCAAGTTTTAGTGAGCAACTCGGTGTCGTCACTCATCTAGTAGATTCTTCTAGTTGACATGGTTGTGTGCAGCGACGCGCCTGTGACACCATTGACATGGTCGTGACGCGTCTGTGACACCATGTCTAGTGCACATTGTGTTCGGCCGACAATACAATATTGGTCAGAATGACGTATGTAAAAAGGATTCAAAAAATGATAGTCACGGAGCTCAGCACTGGTTACACCACCCTGAATAGTATAAATCTGATGGCAGCATTAATCAAAAGGAGACAAAGTTCATTGAAGGCTTGAAGAAAGTTTTGGAAGGCAAAATCACGGCACAAGCCATACTGCATGGAGTATTCAAGTTGTCCACAAGGTCTGCAGTAGAATGTAAGGTCCGGAAAATATGATTCAAATACATGTGCTTTCCGAGAAGAAAGCCACAAACATGTCATTCGATTCCCGCCCTTCAGACTTTAATGATGCCGCTGAGGCTCTCTTGATGAATTTTCAGGCTGGCAGCACTACTCCATCGAGTCACGGCGAGAACTGCAACAGGGGAGGAGGAACTGGGCAAGGTCTCCCTACCTATTCTTGTGGATGTTATAATTACAATAAACTGCCGCGCTATCAAGTTCAGGCTGAAGCTACAGACCTACTAAACAAGGCAGCCGAGTCTAACGTTGCGGACAAGCTTCAAAATGACTTGGACTCCGCATCCAAACTCAAACTCGTATGTAATTAGATCAAACACATACGGTAGTCATCCTCATCATACTCATGTGTAGGATATTCAAGTTTGGAAATCTCAGTGTGCAAGTCCACTACTGCTCACTCCGACTCGGCAGAAGAGAAAGCGCTCTGAGTCTAACTTCATTCAAGTTGAAGAACACACTCAGGCTGTCACGGTAAGTAGTACTACTCAGGATTGAATCAACCTGACCAATGACAACTGCAAACAGCCTCGGCGCTACTTTGACCATGACCTTTTCAATGGACAGCGGGGGACATCAGTACCGGCAGCCCTTGAAGCACCACGGAAACGGCGGAAGTTAGCACGTGCATTTGAGTTTGAAGCTCCGAGTCCGAGTCTGTCAGTAGCCGAGGCACTGCTGAAAGTTGCGGGAGGGATTGAAGCAGCAATCGATAGGCAAACACAACTTCTTTCGTCGATACTGAATGCTATGGAACGTCAGGGAGGTAGTACTAGTAATTAGTGTATGTAGAATATCATCAAAGTGTTCCATTGTACTCACATACAAGCGTTCTGTTCACCTGCGGAAGTGAATTATACTTGGGAGTAGTAAGCTTAGATGTGCGCAAGCACACAAAAAATGACTCAAAAATGAAGTCACAGTGCTGAAATGCAAAAGAGACACCGGCACTAATAGATATATAAATACTTGTCGGTGATGTACATACATAAATAAGTAAAACGACACACCTATAGCTAGCCCTATAGGTTCTGAAAGTTGACTTCATAGTACAAAGAACCTTTGGCTCCGGATACGTCTGCACTGCACACGCTTGCTAGTGAAGGGCTGAGAGTGTGTGCAGGAATGTGGCCACGCGAATTTTGAGGCCTGGCCGGTGGATGAGTGTGACAGAAACACCCTTGAAGAAGTTCTTCAACTGCCTGAACTGCGGCAAATCTGGGTGGAGGTCCAGTGCACGAACATCGTTCTGCTTGAGAACAGCAAGAGCGGCGGTCTGAAAGCTACCCTGCTTGAACCTGAGATTTAGATGAGGGTTAATGTATAGCGATCATTGGAACAGGCTTGCTTACATAACCACTGTCGACACATCAATGTTCTTTGAAATGGTAGGGTGAACACTCCTACTGTATGTTGGTCAAATGTGCGTCGCCACAGAGATCCTGAGCTTACTGGAAGTAACCGCGCCACAGTTCTAAACCTCCACCCAGGGTCTGTATCCCGGCGTCTAAATTAACAAAGCACGAGGCAGCCGCTAATTATGAAAGTGAGCATATATGCGTACGGGACCTGATCGTAAACATACCTTTCACAGCAGCGGGGTTCTGCGTGAGTGTAGTGAGCATCATAGTAGCTTCGTACTTTACTGCATGTGACGATGAATTCAATAATTCAAACATGCATCTGATATATCGGGGCTGCAACGACAAAAATGAGGATAAACAAATGGCCTAAATGAAAAGGACTTACTCGATGCGTCGTGTCGTTCTTAGAGCACAAGAAACAACGCACGCGTGAATCCGTCGATGATAGATGGTGGAAGCTCGGTGCTGAGTGACATGGATGGTGGAGCACGAAAGATGGGGGAACACTGAGCAGAGAGCCAGAAAGTGATGGCCGTAGCACTGTTAGCGTCGTCATCTTCGAACTTGATGCGTTGCGATTTGTATGTTCGAGTTTCGGAGGAAGTGCTGGCACTTGGCGTGCACATATATCCACCCTATCAAGATATTCGAAAGATCAGCGTGGGGTAAACGGGTCGAAAGACGAGAACACGCACATACTGAGAGCCAGACGTAGCCAGAGCACCATCAGCGTGGGGTAATCAGGTCAAAGGACGAGAGCACGCACTTTCTGAAAGCGGGATGTGGCCAGAGCGCCATCAGCGTAAGGTAAGCAGGTCAAAGGAGGAGAACACACACAAACTGCGAGCAGGACGCGGCCAGAGCACCATCAGCGAGTATGCAACGTAGTAAAAGACGAGAACACGCACATACTGAGAGCAGGACGTAGCCAGAGCACCATCAACATCAGGTAAGCAGGCCAAAAGACGAAAACACTGCGCACTTTCTGAGAGTAGGATGCAGTTAGATCCTCTTTGTAAAACATATCTCAAACAGAGTAGCATGTATGTTTGCAATGTCCGAGAATGCAAGTGTATCAATCTTCGCTGCAGGATTCTCTGAAAGGCAGAAGGCCCATAGAATAAGAGCCGCGTTGATGAAGAGTGCCCGACTAGGAACATATCAGTCCCCCATCCAGAGTCGAGTCTACATGCGCAACATACCAAATATCCATTAGTAGGTTGCACGTCGCGGCCTTCTCATTGAGGTAGTCCATGTACGTTTGACTAAACATCAATCTGTGAGTGACCTGAAAATTAGATTAGAGTCAACCACTCACCAGCGGCCAAAACTAAAAGTGAAAAACTTGAGATCACCGCGCACACGACCTGCATCGTCGATCCAACGCTGAGGATTAAACTTGTGTGGTTCCGTGTACGCCCCACGACATTATCGAGTTCCTCTTGTACGCGAGCCTGCGCATCTGTGTGAGTGGCAGCAGCCATCATTATGATTGTGATTGCGAACGCAGTCACAGTTGTCAATTTAAGACGCAATGCAATGTAAGAGCTCACCATTTCAGAACTGGCCCCAAACATCGTTCCTGCAATGTATCCCAAATCCTTGTCTTTGAAGTGGGCAACAACTTAGATCAGCATAGCTCGAGCTCGAACGAAGATCGACGGACTCACGAACTGCAAACGGTGGGCAACAACTTGTATCAGCATGGCTGTTGCTTGAACGAGGATTGACACACTCACGACCTGCGAACGGTGGCCAATGTCTTGGATCAGCACAGCTCTTGTTCGAACGAGGAACGGTGGCCAACAATTTGGATCAGAATGGTTCGAGCTCGAAAATCTTGACATACTCACTTCCTGCGAACAATAAGCAACGACTTTGATCAGCATGGCTCATAACATTCCCAAGTAGTACTTACCTATATTGATCATTAGCAAGAGTTCAAAGTGTTTGGAATTCATATAGCGACATACATGTTGTGACGGTGCAGTACTGTGTCACAGCGTGTCACGAATGCGGCTGGCGCGACAGGACTTGTGTTAAAAATCAAGTCTGTTTATGAATAATAACAATACCACTTACACTCTATGGCCTCAGTGGGAGACAAAAAATCGGCAGAGGTCCTGTAAAAACTGAGATTGCGATGATGAAAAAGAGAGAAGACAACATGATTGTAGTAGTAAGAAGATAAGATGAATGTAGTTGTAGGACTCATAACTCGGATATGTCGACTCGTTGTGTCAGCCGCTGGGCTTACATAATCTGGTTGGAGTTTCGAATGTTAATTTCATTTATGACCGAGCGCATACCCTTCCTCTTAACGTCCATCGCCGCCCGGTGACTGACTGGTCCCCCGATCGTCTATTTCCTGACGTTCTCCACGATTTAACTGTGCTACTCATTCCATTCACATTACCTCTCCACCCTCTCTTTTTGGTTGGCCGGCTGATAGGTAAGCTTTAGTCCATCTTTACTTTAATTGTTTGTTGCGGCCCATCCCCTACTGTCCTCGCCGGCCTTTTGTAGGTGAGCGAGGTTTGGTACACCATGCGAGGTTGGACAAGCCTTTTGTAGGTTATTCGACTGTTACACGTGTGGTGGGGCCTCTTTTTGAAACTTTTTTGTTGTCATTTGCCTCAACACTTTCCTTCTGACTGTGATACGAGTTTCTAGATGGTAGCCTCTAGTGTCACCGACGAAGATTATGGGCCTGTCAATGGGGCTGATGCCGATGCTGATATTTGGACCGACGAAGATCTACTCATATTCTTAGGGGATGAGCCCTCCTCTCCGGAGTCTAGCCAGGACCCAATGGTTAAGATACATGATGGGTGTCCACCACCCCGTAAAAAACGGTGCATTCATTTTAATTCTTGCTGTAATGTCACTGATTTCCTTTCAGTCGCACCCGGAAAGCTGAGGCTAATCAATTTCGAACGAAGCTTCGGTCAATGATGGGAAGGTTGGTGCAAAAGGCCCAAGTGTCCCAAGGTAAATGGTTTCTGTTTTTTTCTCACTGAGATTGACGGCCAAAAATTAGTTGAATTTTCCAGCTTCAAGTTCCATGATGCTGTGAAAGAGCGGGCCTATCGGCACCTCACACCACCTCATTGGAACCAATCAATGGAGAACTTGCGTGAGTGGCTTGATCCCAACCAACCCCGGTTGGCAGTCAGCGCTGATGGAGTGCCTCTTGTGTTACACATTCCCAATGCTATTAATGAACGAGGACGGGTATGGTTACTGATTGATTAATTTTGAGATACTCATTGTGCGGTGCAGGAGGCCTTATACCAGTCTGTGATGCAGTTTGGGATGGCTGTCCCCCTTAAAATGGGAAAAGGGGCGGACAAAAAAGGGCGAGATCAAGAGGAATCATATCATGTAGTGGAGGGCCAGCTGGCTGGTAATGTTAAGTTGGTTTCAGCTTGGCATGCCGTGGGCCAACAGGTAATACGCTATAATCATTCGGATATTCATCTAATCCCTTGTTTTATCTAGAACAAGGAACCTGTTATTTCCGCCGATGTTATTTCCAGTGCCCGACGATTTTCTCTCTCCACCCAGCTGGTATCCGATCTCGAACTCTTGAACTTGAGAGTCAATGCTCTTTTGGAATTTGTAGACCTGCCGCAATTCTTGGCTATGACTAAGTTTGCAGTGGCTCTCCGCAATAAGTATGTGCACGTCAAAGCCTGGTCAGCGATAGATGGACTCCTGTGGGAAGGTAGGTCGATCCAGTTCAATAGGCAAACACCACTGCATCCAGACAGCACCGATCCTCCCCAGTGTTGGGTAGCCTTGGTGGCTCTAGGAACTTTCAAGGGTGGTCATCTTTTTATACCTCGTCTCAATCTTAGGCTGTGGTATGAGCCTGGTACTATCATTTTACTTCGTGGACACATTCTCCCCCATGTTGTTGAGGCATTTTTTGACGGACAGAGAGTTTCTATAGCCCATTTCACTCATGAGTCCTTGTGGAAGGCTCTGGGTCTATCACTTCCATAGCTTAGTCTTACAATTTTTGTTTACTTCCTACTTGAGATAAGTTACTTGGCACGCATGTTTCAATTAACATTGCTACTACTGTGATACACAAAAAGACTAAACCATGCTCTACGATCCATATACCTCAGATGGGAATTCCACCAAGGCTACAGAATGGATTGCGAATAATATTGATACTGCAAGAAGAGATCAGCTTGAAATGCGCAATTGCATTAGTCTCTACTCATGGAGTCGTAAAGATGCATCCAGTTGGAGCCCAAGGAGGTATCAATGAGACGGTCGATATATTCACCCACAAGGGAATGAGTCAAAGCGGGTTGTACAGTAGTTAGTCGTCATCTGGCACTCAATGAGCGCAACCCACCGTCACCAATACTATCCTGGAACCAACCTCAGATCTGATATTCTGCAAGCAATCGTGACGTCGACTCACTTGTAGAGCGATCTCAGTAGCAACAAAAGCAAACAGACCGCGGAAAGAACTGTTGGTTGCTACTGCCGTCAATGAGCGACCAGTATTTGCGTCAACAATGCATGCCAGCGTGCTCGCGTAGATCCATCTATCGCAGATGAGAGCAAAAGACAGTGTGAAAGGAAAGAAACATACATGGATAAAACATACATGTAGTGAGTACAAGGCAAGACCAAAGTAGATGATGTGCTCAAAGGCAGGGTGCGAAGTTAGGAATGAAAGTCTTCATGGTGGCGACTTGGATAGATCTGCACCATGGATGATCCGAGTCGATTCAAGAGGTTGCTTATGTCATCATTTGGCTGTAAGAATTCGGTACACATAGAGTATACTTTCTGAAGGATGGTCTTGTCTTTGTTGTGGTTCTACTTTCAATTATATGCACTAGCAATTTGGCAGGCTTCCTCAATGCTTCCCCTCGAATTAGAGAGAGAGATCTTTTCTCTTGCTAGTACAGACTCCACGCAAATGGCCTGCTCTTTCCTCCTTGTTTCTCGGACGGTACATTACTGGTGAGTCCCTCATCTTATGTTTGGCTGAGGAGAGCATTTACTCAGTACTACTACTGTGGCAGGATTGAAAAACTTCTGTATCGTACAATTGTTCTACCGAATGAAAATGTCGCCACCCGCTTTCTGTCATCGGTTTACTCTCGGCCTCACCCCCACAATTTTGCTCGCCAGGCTGTAAAATCTTTGTGCTTGAAGGGGAACATATGTGTCAGTATAGCTGCAGAGATCATTTCACTCTGCAGAGGTACTACGAACCTGGCACTATGGATAGGCCCATCTGATTTGGACCAGAAAACAAATCCTCTCCTGGTGCCCTTGGATGAGCTCGTGCTGACATCACTCTCGCTCAGCATATCATTGTTATTTAGTCACACTCCATCTTTCTCGCTTTCCACACTTCAAGTCTTTCGTTCTCTGACTCATCTGGAGATTCTGAATGGCTGGGTGCTGTGGAGTTCTACAGTGGGTGTGGAGCATCTTCATGGACTGACACATTTGTGCCTGCATATTCACACACGGAGGACCAAGCCAGGATTGGTGATACCCCTTCTTAGCCATCCGTGCATCCGAGTACTAGTTTTCCGCATCTCAGAAGGCATCAATGTAGTGCAAGCGTTCCTTGAATCCAATCTTCTCAGCAACTTTCGCATTGTCCTGGTATCTCAAGATTTCATTAGCCATGGTGATTTTGGACGTGGGGACATATCATCTCTCTGGACGGGCGCTGAGAAAATAGTAGATTGGAGGCGGGTTAGCCAAGGTATGTCTTTCATCACAAGTACGCTAGTAGCCAGCTCACCACATCAGCAGGAGGGCCTTTTAGTATACCAGGCCCCATGAGAGATATTGAATGTGAGCATATTTTTCTGCCGCATGATTGATGCTGAGACTGGGACCAGAACTCTACAACACTCAAATCGACGAGATGCCTTTCAATGTTGTGTAAGTATTGTACTGCCAGATTGATTGTATCTGGGCTCTGACAGGTACTTTTCCACTGATTGTGTATAGCTTCTCTTATAGATCAGACTGTTATGATGCTGCTCCGAAATTGTTACATCCATTCTATGATCACTTGACCGTATGTCATGTAAAATGTTTCGGGTCTGCCAAGTATATATTTTATTTTTTTGTACTGTTACTTTAGCTGCATGCATATCACACCCGTCCTTTCATGTTTCACTGCACTTACCCCGTGATATGGCTTCCTGAGAGACGATAGCTGGGTCTAAAGGAGTCCATGACCGCTGCAGACCTGGTGCCGGGGGTCTTGCTATGCGCCAGGCATGACTCAGATAACTCGGATCACTCGGATCCTACTACTTTCCTGTACTTTGTCTTTCCTTTAGCATGAAGAGGCCATGAAACTTATTCTGAAGCATTTGGCATCTTTTCTGCTGGTCTTCTTCGCTTTGATGAGCACTCACTTCGTATGTGGAGGAGAATGTAGCCGATCGTTCACAGGACCGAGTGGCTTGACCCGTCATCGTCAGAACTGTAAGCACTGGAAGAATCAGTTGAATCTGCAGTCCCAACATTTCAAGCGTATATCGGCATCTATGCGGGAAGCTCCTGCTGCAAAGAAAATAAAGCTCAGTGTTGCCCAGGTAAGTAAGTTCAGCATGCTTTGGTCCCTGCTTATTTAGAGATAAATAGCCAACCCCTGCCTTCACTGGCAGCTTTCCACCCGCAAATGCCATAGTGTCCGAGTCTC